CTCCACCTTGTAGGGGCTCAGCCAGGACCTCAGCCCTGACGTTTTGGGCTTCCTCAGGTTGCGTATAGTACCGCGTGGCTTAGGGTTTAGGGTTTAGGGTTTAGGGTTTAGGGTTTAGGGTGGGGTTAAGTGTAGTTAAGTGTTAGAAGGTGTCCTAAGTGGCATGATGCTGGGATACTCGAAGAACTCTGTGTAAGTGGGTTTAGGGCTCAGGGCTTTGGGTTTCTGGCTCTTCGCTACCGTTCTCATGCGGTGCCCCTCACATATCCGGAGCCTCAAACCAAAACAAGCCTAAAGCCAAAGCCTTGACAGGAGTCCTTCCTGAGACGCTTCCGGACCGCCAAGGAGGCGACGAACAGTTCGGCCATCCGAAATAGGGTGTTTGAACCGTTCGAAGCACTGTTCCTCCAAACCCCAACAATGATTGAAGCCTTTGTACCCAGACCCCCTACTGGATCGGAGAAAGAGAAACTGTAGGGTTCAGGGTTTTGGGTTTAGGGTCCAAGAAGGTATGCTCCTGTTTCTATGTTTTGAGGGGCTCTATGTTTGGAGACTCCTTGAAAAGGGGGTAGAAGGTCAGTTGTTTTGTTTTGGGAGAATTTGTGCGCCATTTCCCGAGACGAAGCACCGCGCTTTAGCCCGAAGCACAAACACAGAACCCAGAGTTGCGTGCACCCTAAACCCTAAACCCTAAACCCTAAACCCTAAACCCTAAACCTTTCCAGGATTCAAGGTTGGATCCTTTCAGGGTTCTGGCCTAGTGACTTTCCACTTCGGTTCGTATCAGTCTGGGGGTTTGGGTTTAGGGTTTAGAGTTTAGGGTTTAGGGTTTAGGGTTTAGGGTTTAGGGTTTAGGGTAGCATTTGAGATGTAAGGTTCCTGCATGACTCGCTTGGCAAGACAGGGGCTGCGTGGAAAAATGTTGCAGCTGGTATGCCCCCTGTTGGCACTTGATTCCTGCGTAAGCGCTCGTGAACCATGCACCCCAACCCGGGAACCGAAATTTCGATCAGTCCTCACATAATAATGCGAACCTTTGAAATCAAGACAAAACTAGGGCCTGGGCCTAAACCTTGAACCCTAGATCTATCCCTATCCTAGAAGTCTTCAGCCCTGAAAAGGACATGATAGTTTAGGGTTAAGTAGAGATTTGGGCTTAGGATTTAGGGTTTAGTAGGGTTTTTGGGTTTAGAGTTGTGATTGCAAAAAACTTCTCCGACCAAAGGATGGCTTGGCGACTGCAGCACCGGACACCTCTGAGGCAGGCGTCCTGATACCTGGTATACGTAACATACTTTAAACACAAAGAAGTCCTTTACAGTTTAAGGTAGATGCGAGCATATGTGTGGCATTGAGCTCTCCAGGTCCAGCGCTTTGTGTGTGGCTGTATAGGCTTTTTGTTGTGGCCGGGGATCGGCTGAGGGCTCGAGGCCGGGAGTCAAGTGGGTAGTTCTCTAAATTAGGGTCCGTTTTATAAGGGTGCCGTACTATATTGGGGATCCAGAAAGGGACCCTAATTTGGAGAACTACCCAGTCTGGGCATGCTCCGATATAGAACTGCTGCAGCCTGCCAGGCCATCTGTTGGGGTGTGCGAGGCAAACAATCCGCTTGAAAATCTATGCAATAGAGCTCCTTCTGAAACAGTGGATGTTGAGAACGAGTTTTTGTTTATATAGGTGGTTACGAACCTTCGCTCTAGGCGTAGAGCAGAGCGCTGGTTGCCGCTAGACTCACTAGACATTTCTCAGAACACACATTTCTCAGAACACTCGGCCAAATAGATTTTACACAACCCCTTACATGCACCTCGGCTTAGGGCTCATAGTCTTGGGCTTATTGCAAGCGACATCTGACGGATTTCATCCCTGTGAGTTCCCTATGGTATGTTACACGCACATGGCACGCACACGAAAGCCGCAACATTCATTAACACTTTGTTCTATAAGGGTTCTGCGTTGCTTCTCGGTGTCCTTCCGAAGCTGCCCTTTCCGCGCAGCAAGTGATGTCGCTGCACCAGCTGGCCATCTCGGTGAATGTTTCGGCACTGCACTCAGGAAAGAGTCATTCCCTGCTTGGCTTTTACGCTGTTCAGGATTCAAGGCCTCCTTTAAAGGACAGGAGTGTAGTAGTTCCAGCAACAGGCAGGCCGCCTCCTTGTTTTGAAAGTATGTGTATGGACATACATACATATATATATATATATACACACACACACACATATATACATATATACGGGCATGGTTGCGCCTAAAAGTCCCTATTGTGAGTTGGTAAATTGGGCTGCTTAGCTAGAACCCTGTAAGGTTGTTGGGCTTGAGACTTGAGATGGTACTCGAGAAAATCGGGGCGCAACACATGTAGCAAAATGAGTCATTGACATGCGAGGCGTGTTTCATATTGGCAGTAACAACAGCAGTGCTCTCATCAGCAACGGAGTAACAACAGAAACGAGACAGTACCAACATGCAAGTTAACTAGTGATGAGTCACAAATGGGTCCGTTGCGGCCTGACTCCGTAAATACCTTGCAAATAACCCTTAAAATACCTCAAACCCCTCCACCCCCCAGCCCTAAACCGAAGCCCCGAAAGGGACCCTAATTGCAGGAGCCCTCAAAAAGAACCTTAAACGGAAGCGAAACACAGAAACTCTCCGAGGATCCCTTTCAGGGACCCTTAGGGTTTAGGATTTAACGGAGCCATCGAAGGAACCCTAAGCACGCTAAGCCCCTAAAAACCCTAAACCCCTAAAACCCCTAAAACCCCTAACACCCTAAAACCCCTAAACCCTAAAAAACCCTAAAACACCTAAAACCCTAAAACCCTAAAACCCCCTAAAACCCCCTAAAACCCCCTAAAACTAAACCCCACGCCGAGTTTGATGACGCTCGGCTCATCAAGGCGGCCTTCGATGTCTATGTCTGAGCCTCGAGAGGGAGCCCCGGAAACCCCTTAGGGAAGATACCATTAGGGGGTTAGGGGTTTAGGGTTTAGGGTTTAGGGTTTAGGGTTTAGGGTTAGGGAATACACCAGATTAGGGGTTTAGGGGTTTGGGGTTTAGGGTTTAGGGTCCGGGAGTATACCTTTAGGGGTCTGGGGGTTTAGGGTTTAGGGTTTAGGGTGTATACCCTTAAACCCCGTGAAGTTCTACTGCTCTTTAGATCTGTCTGAGCCTCTCTAGAGAACCCAGATCTCCGGAAGGATCCCAACCAATGGGGTTGAGGGTTTAGGGTTTTGAGGTTTCAGGGTACACCGGGTGTCATAGTGTCCGAGCCTCAAGAGAGAGGGGATCCTTCGAGGGCTTTAAGTGCTAAGGGCTCAGGTTTTACAGTGTTGGGCTTTAGAAAGGTTGCAGAAGGGTTAAAGGGCTTTGTAAGGGATTTATAGAGTGAGGGATTGTATTTAAAGGTACCGCCACAGCAGATTATATTCCTGTTGTGGTTGCTTGTCTGAGCCTCGCGCGAAGGCAAGATTATGGTCCAACCTGTTGGACAAAATCGAATTATATAGCTATAGTTTACTTACCCCAACACCCTGTGTCAATACGGCTTTCGCATTTTGTCTTGACAGTGCTTATCGCAGCAAGGCACATAACAGCTCAAGGACACTTCAGTCTAGGTCCTATACCCGTTGTGATGTGGGGTTTCCCTGTGCGGACTGAACATAAGGAAAAAGGACGAAGTGTCGTGTTGGTGTTCATAGCTCGCGAAGTTACTCATCAAAGCAAGCATTGCACAGCAACTGGAATGGGTGTATTGTTCCAACCTTTGCCTTGCGTTTTCCTATACCTCTGCAGGCTCATGACGCAACTGTAAGAGTTAAGCCCGTACAAATCGGAAACCGCCGTTCTCAACTTTCCGTGCGAACTGCACCTGACGCAACTCCTAAACCCTCAAGCCCCCATAATCTTGAACCCGAAAATCTTCAGTATCCTTAAGGTCTTAAATTGTCCAATCCCAGAAGGGTTTAAGGTTTTAGGGAGTGCCTTAGTGTTTTATGGTGGTTATGAGACTCCAATATCCCTTAGCTGTGGTTTCTTCAAAACCCCGAAACCAGTAATCCCTAAACCCTTACCCTTCAGTTGTGATCGGATTCCAAAAACCCGAACACCCCGAAACGAACCCTGAACTCCAAGCAAAAAACTGAGGCCAAGCTTTCCACTAACTTTTGAATGACTGCAACGGGAAAATACAGAAACTAAATTCAAAACCCACGTTTCCCCTTGCAGAAAGAATCAAAGCAAGGCTTCCGGCAAGGACTCCCTTGAGTACGGTGAATTCGTCCAGGCACCCAGCGCAGTGTTCTAATTTCAAGCTATGTTCCCTGACTAGGGGAGCGGAGCTGTAGGGTATTTTGTAAGGTTGATGGAGCTGCAGGTTGCTACATTTCGGAGAACAGGATTTTTGGGTGCTGATTATGTGTAGATGGTTTTGTGTTTTCGTAGGGAGGCAGGGAGGGAGGGAGTCAAGTTTGTTTTTCAATGTGTACGGGTTTGGGGCACAGTTGCTCAACAATTTTAATACGTGGCCTACAAGTAGAGGCACAAGTACCCTACATGGAGCTTTCTTAGTTTGCTCCGACATCTAGGTCCAGTGCTCCTTCACGTAGTTCCAGATTCTTGAAGCATCCCTCGAACCCGTTTATAAACAAAAAGATCTCACAGGAACTTTTACAAAAGCAGAAAGTGCATCTGTGGTTGCTCAAGTTTTCTGGCGCATAGCCGCATAGCCAAAAAACATGACCTTCACACGCAGCCCCGCAACCTAGCTGCATGTGGCTGCCGGAAACTGGAAGTTCCTACCGCTAAAGCATGCAGTCACCTTCACCCTAAACTTCAAAGCCCTAAAGCTTTATGTCCGTACAGGCGGTCTTGCACCTGCACCGGACAATGAACAGTGCTTGCACCGCACGGGCGCTCAGCCTTCAAGCATCGCAGTTGGTTGTCCATGCTTGTGCAGCTTGCAGTTGGATGACACAGCCCCGCATTTGTGCCGAAGAGACATGTCCATACTTCGACTGCCTGAGTCCACGACGCTTTCCCAGTGCGAGACGCTTTGTGCGATGACCTTTCCCGGTGGGGGCAGAGCCCTCAGAGGGGTGGTGCCGCAGTCGCGCAGCAACGGTGGTGCCTCCAAGCCACTCCGCTTGGTGCAATTGCTACAGCAGCGCTCACCCAGATTTGTGTTGTCCAGGACTTGACGGCACGGTGGATTTGCTGAAGCTTCTGCAATGGTGCACCGGCTTGTTTTCGTGGATTCCCAACGTGGCACCCAGCGACTGGCGCTCCATGCTACCAAGATCACAGCTCGCCTTTCTGCAGCAGTCGCCTCCCCATCACAGCACAGATCTTTACTGTCTGGTGCTTAGTAGGGAATGGGGGAATGGGCTATAGGGACTACTATAAGGGACGTTAAGGGACTCTCAGAGGGATCCATTCCCCCATTCCCTACTAAGCACCAGACAGTTTACGGTGATTTGGGCTATTTGTCATGCAGATGCGGCCAGGTACTCGACCTACAGCTTCCAGGAAGAGTTGATCCTTTCCGATGAGATGAGGCCGGTCTTCTTGCAGATCATGTCCATCCTTCCTGAAGTTTAGGGTGTAAAAAAGAAGCATTATTAATTACCTATGTTATTCCTTCGGGGTCCATATTATAACTATATAGTATAGTGGGCCCCAAAACCCTACTCTAATTATTAAGGCTTCTACAGTAGATCCAGACCCACATGGAAGGACGCAAGCATCAGCCGCAGTCAACCAGGAAAACCTTAGTGCGAGCCTCTCTACATAGCACAGAGGCAGCTCCCCAGAGACTCCAATATCCCTTAATTAAGGCATATACTTTGAATCATATTAGGGATCCTATTATGATTTAAGGTATATTCCTTATAACTAACGGATATTGGGGTCTCTGGGTCCTTCGGGTGTAGAACCCTGATTTTGCTTTGCACTCCACCTTGATCCGAGGACCCTCCGGCGGCTCAGCCGTAAGTACGGAGTTCCCTGGGAAGAGGTGGACAACGTGAAGCGCCACCGCCCAAGGGTGGAAGAGTCGGTAAATGCATCAGCTTGTATTGTAGAAGATCGTGCGCAGTGCGAAATTTCATATGTCTCGCGGTCTTCAATCATCTTAGCGGGTGCACCAGGTATTTCTCCTGCTTTGGTTTTCAGGTCAGTTCGACAATGTTGACGAGGATGGTTCAGGCGACATCACCTTTGAGGAAACCGCCAGCTGTCTGCGTTTTTTCGTCCCTGACCTCGGCTGTAATTCTCCGGACCGCTTCTAAGCCTGAAACTCCTGAACCATCAAACGAGTTTGTTCTCAAGTAGACACAATCCCCAAACCAGACAACCAAAGTCTCCATGCTCAAAATGTCCTTGCGCAGGAGTTTAGCGACGTCTTGCGACGAGTTCTCCAGGCCGGAAAAGCAGAAACTTGCATGGCACCTAACCGACATTCATCTCCGAATGAAAGAGTGTGTTCGTATCATAGCAAACAGCCCTGGTCTTTGCAGCAGTATAAGAAGCCCTATACGAGGTAGGGTTCATGGAACCGTTTGTTTAGTTTTTAATTTTGAGGGTCTTATGGTGGGAACACTACAAACAAGAACCCTCCGTCACAGAATTAGGTTCCTGAAACAAGGGATTTTGGAGTCTGGGCGTGGCTGGAAAGGATCTCTCATCCGCGTCCTGTCACAGCGCAAAGATAAAGCTAGCAGGTTGGTTGCAGCACGCTTGCTTTCCAGGGATTAAGAGGCAATGAGGGTGAGCACACAAAGCTTTCAGAGGGTCCGTAAGGTTTCCCACGAGGCTCTTATGGTCAGAAGACGCGTGTTTCGGCTGCCCCCTAAAACTCTACGACAAGGTGCGATGAAAGAGCCAAGTACTCCGAGACTCCAGCTCTATGCTAGAGGATTCGGCTAGCACGGGTTTAGGATCTAGGGGTCTAGGGCTAGGATACCATGCATGGTTCGGGGTTACAGAGTTTGAGTCAAATTGCAGAGTTTGAGTTAGGTTAAGGGTTTAGGGTTGGCAGGTGGTGTGTGTGTGTGTGTGTGTGTGTGTTATTACGTGGTTTTGCTCTTTAGAGTTTTTTTGTCTTGGCACAGGTCCCTCAGCACTTGGATCTTCCAGTGAATCGCGTCAGGCCGGTCAGTATGCTTTCGTTGTGTATGGGTTTGGTATGGGTTGTTCTTAGGGGGTAGCCCTAAACCAAATTGAATTTCTAAAGGCACAGATTGCTAAGCTTGGGGCTCTGATAGCTGCAGTATAAGTATAAGCGTCGTGCTGCACGTCAAACAGCTTTGTATCGAGTTCTTAAGTGTCCTCCTAATTGGAGCTTACCCGGAAAGCAAGCATACATGTAGAAGTTGTTAAACCAGAAAAGCCTCAATGATATATTCCTGGGTTAAGGAAGGTTTAAACTTTAAACTCCGCATTAGATCCTGGGCCCTCTGAGTACGATTACAACGCTACACAGGCCAACCATCAGACTCGAGATAAACAGGAAATTATCAGCTTTGGTCGGAAAGAGAGCATGCCGGAATCTGATCGCACCTCTCGAGACTACGTCGACACTTTTCTGGATCCTTGCTCTCGGCATCTACGATTTTGGACTTCCATCGTGCGAGTATGAGCGTGAGTATCAAGATGCCAAGAGTCATGCCGACAAATAGTGCAACGCTTTCAACATCAAGTCATTACTTTCTTTTTGGCAGATACACCAGTAAAATCTTCCGACGATGGTCCGAGTTGCGCTGCTCCGAAGGCACTTTTGGAAGGAGCTGGACCATGATGGAAGTGGGAAGGCTTGAGAGCCGTCTTGCATTGCGAAGATGCACAGTCCTAAACCCCGGCCCCGATGCTCAGAACCACCTGTATGGCACAAGATTTGCTGCACGCACTCTGCCAATCAGCCATCAGTCGGCCTCTTGTGAACCGCTAGATGCGACAGTGCATGTAGGTTTTGAAGAAAATTGCGTATCAGCAGCTTTTGCATTCAGGTGGCATATGGCTAGCTTCGATTCAGATTTTCGGATCCCAGCCAGAGGCTTAAACTTGCACAGTTTCCAACCGACACGCAATGCATCCCCAAAACATTGCTCCCGCCCAGCTGGAAGCAACATGATGGATTCTGAAATCGAGGGTTATTTCGGTACGGATCCTCATTTCCGGATCCCAGCATTCAGTGTCTGTGAAACACCTTATGAAATCTAGCAACATGTTGCAGGCCGACTTCACCGAATTCCTGCCCTGGTGGCTCAAGTACTTCCACAACAAGGTTCCCAACTTCATGTCCTGAGTCGTCGTCATGCCTCAACTCTTGGACGGTTTTTGGCAAGCTCAGCTCACGTGGAATCGAGAAGTTTTCCCATGACCAACGCCCTAAACCCTAAACCCCTAAACCCTAAACCCTAAACCCTAAACCCTAAACAACGCCTGTGCAGGAGGGCCGGAAGATGTTGGTCAAGCCTTTTGAGGACAGTTAGGGTTTTGAGGACACGAAACTCCCTGCCATGATTTAGCCTTACGCCTTAGGCCACTAAGCCCAAGCCCCTCCAACACTGACTTGTAGTCCTTCACAGCACATGAAAACAAAGCTTAAGCCCTAGAAGAGTAGGATGCAAAAAAGAGCGAGCCCGCCGTGCCTTTCCAGGACTTCTACCGCAACGTCCGAAACTTGAAGAACCCCGATCCGCCTCCTTATCGGAAAGGCAAGAAAGTGGTGCCAGAGCCCAAGGAACAAGAGACTCCTTTACGGTTTAGGGTTCAGGGATCATGTTGAATCAGGGCATTATGTGAGTCTTGTGAAGATCTTGAACGGCAAAACAGTCGTGCTAGCTCGCGGTTGTGCGTCAATAAGGTTCAGGGGTTTAGAGTTTAGGGTTTAGGGTCTAGGGTTCTGGCCAAGGACCAAGCACGAAGGATCTTTTACAAGCTTTCCATGGGTTGAGAAATCACAGTGTAAACACTAAAGTGTACGATCCTTCTCACAAGGACCCGTAATTTTTCCTTGCTTGTATTCGAAATGTCCGGAACCCGATCAACAATCAGCAAACATGTGCGCCAAGAACTGCTGCATCGGGCGCTCCTTCAAAACAAGATCACTTCCAGGACCGACGTAGATAGTTGTTGCTCTGTCACGTTGTGTTGGAAGATTTGGAGAAGTGAATTTGGTTGAGGAGATCAACGCCCTGGCTCGAGGCCTGCTTTTGCTTGCACCAGGAATGTGACCTGTCGATGTCGCAGAATAAACAACATGAAAAGTCCTTGCGTGCCCACAGCAGGTGGTTCTGCCGGCTTTGGACGAGGCTTCGACTGGCACAGCACAAGCGAGCAGCATGTTTCTAACCCGCCAGCACATGTTTGTCCGTTGCACCTACAGTATACGCCCCAAGAGTTCACGGCAGGTGTGTCTGGTGGCTCCATGGGATTTGGTCGACAAGCGTCTGCAGGATCAAATCCGGCTGGGGCAACTTGGAACCTTGGCATGGTGTCCTGGCACCTTGGTTCCTAATGGCAGCCTGGCAGACGGCACGCACTTTTGAATCGACTCGACTGCATGCTCTGAAGCAACTAAGTCTTTTCCCATGTTCAAACTTATCAGTAGGATCCTTGTCATATGGACCTGACAGAAAAGGTTTTAGTTGATCAGGGGTTTTCTATATTTTAAATGCAGCGCAAGCTGCAACAAGACCAGAGATTGCTCCGTAGTTGAGCAAGACACCGATCAGATCATCTCTCCGGCCAGCCGCTTACTCAAAGAAGAGGGTTTGTTCGTCTCCGGGAATTTTTGTGTTCGAGATCTTCGAGGTACGGAAGGTTCTTCAGATCTCGTTTTCTGAAGTTGCTGGAAATTTATACATATGATTTTCCATAGAGTTTCTGATCTCTTCTATTGGTCCTCTCATTTCTATGTCTTGCTCATATTTTCTGGAGATATTTTTTAAATATTTTATGGCTGATACCAGAAGAATTTTAAAAATTATAGATAGATTTTAAATTCGAATTGATATTCTTTCTGATATTATTCGATTCGATATTCTTTCTTTTATGATTCAATTCAATATATTTCTATTTTAATTTCTAGATATTTAATTAGAAAAATAATTCTCAAATAATTATTTATATATATAAGATATAAAAAATATCTTAATATTATTTATTATAATGATAATTCTTTATTGATATATTCTAAAGTTCTATATTTATTTATATATATATATATAAGAGATAAAAAAAATATCTTAATAATATCTATTATAGCGATAATTCTTTATTGATATATTCTAAAATTCTGAATAAGAAGAAGAAGAATAAAACCTAGATAATAAGATTATGATAATTTATATAAAAATTGATTTGAATTTCTGGGTTTTACGAAAAGGTTTAAAGAATTCCTGAAAAATTGATAAACCAAATGAAAGTAGATATATAAAATATATATTATTATATTATATTATTATATTCTAAGAATTTCGAGTATCTCTAGCTTAATTTGGGCAATTAATTGAGTCTGAGTATGAATAAGTCTATTTTTATATCTTTCTAAATGATAATTTATGGATCTCTTTGAATGATTCTCTATCTATATGGGTGTCGGTTTATTTATTTATATGTCTGTCCGAGCGCTTAGATTTATATATCTCTATTTATTTAATTCTGGCCGCTCATTTGAATTTGAATATTTGAATCTATAAATTTATATTTGAATTATTATCGATATTGGTATGTTTCTATTTATCTCTATTTATATATCTCTTTTTTTCTATTTTAATTTATCTATCTCTGAATATCTCTATCTATATCTTTTTTCTATTTGTATTTTTGATTATTTTTATCTATATTTCTAGCTAGATCTCGATTATAATTTTTATTTCTATCTATATTTTTTATATTTTATATTTGATTTTATTAATTTCTACTTATTTTTTATTTTTCTCTTATATATATATTTATATTTACAAGAAATATATTTAATATATTATTTAGAAATTTATATTTATATATATTTAATTATATATATTTTCAAGATTTCATATTTATTTATTTATTTGATGAGCTTCGTATATATATATATATTTATATCTCAGATTAAAATCAATAATTGAAATCGAAAAATCCGCATTAAATAGAGCAAATACTTACTTGGATAAAAAAATAATATTTTAAGAATCTTGATAATAAATGAATTCCTATAATAATTTCTCATTATAAGAATCCCTTCTAAATTTTGAATTTTGAAATTGACTTCTCCAAAATATTTGAGAGAGACATATATATGAATAATCAAAATCCTATATCGTATAAGAGATCATGGGGAGCTCCACTTATTGATGAATTATATTATAAGAAGTCATATAGGATTTTGCCCATCCAATATCTGAGAAGATATCTATTCGTATTCTCAGAAACCAAATTATCTAAGCCTTCATATTTTGCGAGGATATGATCAGACTCCATATAATAAGAAATCTATTATCTGGCACTCTCCAAATTTCAGACCTCTTTGATATTAAGAGAAATCCCCTAATTCGCGACAATTTCTAAATTTGCAATGCCTTAATATAATTATAGAATATTTTCATATCAATTTCAAATTAATTTCAATTTCTAAATTAAATTCGCTATTAAAAAGGAATTATATTTTGTAGGATATGATTATTCCTTCTTAATAGCGAATTTCAAATTTGAAATTGAAATTAGTCTGAAATAAATTTGAAATTATTCTGAAACTGAATAAATAATTTTGAAATTTGAAAATTGCCATATATTCGGATATTCTATAGATGAAGAGAAATTAGAACCTTGGAATTTATATCATAATCTGAGATTCTATTGATGAAAAGGAAATTGAAATTTAGAAATATTTTATAATCAGATAAATGGTTATCTGGAATCTGGTCTTATCAATATAATATGATCCTAAATCTTAAGAATAATTTCTTCATAATATTTAGGAGGGCACGGATAAATAATCGAAATCCTGTATCACCTATATGAATATAGAATATTGAAATTAGAGGGGCACGGGAAGCTATACTCTTAATCAAATATATTTATTATATAGAAGATCATATAAGATCTTATTTATCTATTATAGATATTAGTTTAAATTTAATATTCTATTATTAATTTGGGGAGCATATTAATATTATATTTACTAATTAAATCTATTCGATATTGAATATATTAAAGATTATGAAATAATATCTATTATCGAAATCAGAATATTGCGAGAAGATTCTTATTGAAATCTAATATTTGAAAATAGAATTCTATAAAAATAATAAATCTCACTTAATAATTATAATATATTCAAATCTTATAAATTATCGAAAAGTCTATTCGAGATTT